AAACCAGTAGACCCTAACCCAAAAAAAAAAATAGGGTGGCCCAAACAACAAAACAAAAAGGGAAAAATGGAAAAAAAAAGGAGGCTGGGAAAACATGGGGTGGTTTGCGGATCAAAAAGGTTCTCGTGCCGGGCTTTTTCCCGTGCGCCCGGGGAAAGGCCGTGGGGGCTGGAAGTGTCCATTGAGGCCCCCGCAGGGAAATCGGGGGGGTGTCCCAAGGGCCATTCGGCGCCCTCGCTGAGCCCGGGTTTTGGGCCCGCCCCTTGCCTCCCTTTAGCTCCCCGATCTGGGGCACGTGGAACCCTCATAGAAACCCAATTTTCCCCCTCTGGGTTTAAGGCCCAAACGGGGGATATCCAAAAGCAGAGCAAAAAAGTTTGGCCCGTTCTTTTAGGGAACCCCTTTGGTTGAAAAAATTTCGGCCCTTTACTTGGGCAAAAAAGGGGAAAGGGAAAAAGCCATCTATAGGGGATGTTGCGCGTGCGTGAGAGTAATCCCAATAGCGGGCGCAGCGCCCGCCTTTGTTGCAAGGGTCAGATTGGTGTAGGGTCCTGATATAGCTGTAAACTCCGCCCCTCATAAGCCAGATGTCTCTCTCCCCTCGCACTTTGAGGATATCCTCTTTAAGCGGGTAACTTTCAAGACAGCATAATTATGTCCCCATGGAGGGTCGTGTGTCTCCCCAACCCCTAGGGCGGGGTCGCCCGGTGTACACGTTCAATGGCAAATCATTGTTAGAAGGTGGGAGGCGACCTAGAAGGTCATTAAATAATAGCTATTACCGCTTTAGGGACATCACAAGGTTCCACTGAATCATGAAGGGCCGCCGGACCCTTAATTATCGTGCAGCGCTGATTGTTGTTTTGTAAATCAGAAATTGCCGCCTGATTCTGCCTGGTATCCAGCTCCACCCGCTCCACCCTTGTGCCCATAGAGCGGATGTCATCCCTTAATTCAGTGAGGGCAGAGGTTAATGTAGTGGTTAGGGTGGACTTTATATCAGCTGCCACAGCCTGGAGGTCCCTTAATGATAGGGAATGTGTAGCATGTGAGGAATGTGAGGAATCCAGCTGTGGCACTGTGTCCAGCACAGCATATTCGGCTGTGCTTGCAGAGCCTGTGTCAGAGACTGCAGAGGGAGGGGGAGAGGGGGATGACGCTGGAGAGGGAGAGGGCTGCGGCCCGTCTTTCAGCTGGGAGCGGAAGAGCTCCTTTATATGCCTCCCCTGAGCGTTGTGACCCCGCGGGGACCGCGATCTGGCCCCAGAGGGTGCCCTTGTCAGTCTTCCCCATAGCAGAGGGGAGATGTCTCACCCGTCAGTGCAGAGCGGCAGCAAGGTAGGAACCGGCCGGCGGGAGCTCCGTGATTACGCGGCCATCTTCACTCGCGGCTCGGCCACGCCCCCTGCATTCATATTTTTAGCCCCCAAGTACATTACATTTTCCTACATGAAACCTCCTTTGCCATGTAGTTGTCACCCCTTTATTTTATTGAAAAGTTTCTATATCCTGCTGTGAAGTTATTGCTCTACTTAGCTTTGTATCATCAGCAAACACTGAGACTGAACTATTTATACCGACCTCTATATCATTTATGAACAGAATTGGACCCAGAACAGAGCCCTGGGGTACCCCACTTATAACTCAGACCATTCAGAGGTACATTTATCACCACCCTTTGTACGCGCCCCAGTAACCAGTTTTCTATCCATGTACATACACTATTGTCAACACCAACATACCTCAATTTGTGGATTAAGCATTTATGGGGTATGATGTCAGATGTTTGGTGAAGTCTAGATACACAACATCCACGGGGGTTCCTTTATCCAGATTACAGCTCACCTCCTCATAGATTGTTAATAAGCTGGTCTGGCAAGAACAATCTTTTTTCATAAATCCATGCTGGGTACTAATGATACTATTTTCATCAGCTAATTCTGGGACATAATTCTGGGATATGGTCCCTTATCATCCCTCCAATAGTTTACAAACTATTGATGTTAGGCTGACTGGCTTGGAGTTTCCAGATATGTATCTTGGCCCTTTCTGGAATACTGGAACCACGTTAGCTTTTCACCAATCTGCTGGCACCACTCTGGTCAGTAAGCTTTCCTAAAGACTAGGAATAGCAGTCAATGACCTGGCTACATTCTTTGAGGACTTTGAGGGGTGCAAGCCATCTGGTGCTGGTGATTTGTTCATATTAAGTTTTTCTAGACTTTCCAGTCTTTTGTAAGGGACCACTACACTGACCACTGATAAAAGAGAATCCTTCTTCAATCAGTCACAAATGTAAGGGACCACTACACTGACCACTGATATAGGGGAATCCTTCTCCCATTGGTCATCAATGTAAAGGACCACTACTCTGGTCAATAATGTATGGGGATTTTTCTCCCAATGGTCAACAATGTAAGGGATCACTACAATACAACTGATATAAGGGAGTTCTTCTCCCATTGGTCACCAATGTAAGGGTCCACTACACTGACCACTGATATAAGGGGATCCTCATTCCCATTGGTCACCAATGTAAGGGACCGCTACACTGACCACTGATATAAGGGGTCCTTCTCCCATTGGTCACCAATGTAAGGGTACCACTACACTGACCACTGATATAAGGGGATCCTTCTCCCATTGGTCACCAATGTAAGGGACCACTACACTGACCACTGATATAAGGGGGTCCTTCTCCCATTGGTTACCAATGTAAGGGGCTGATACACTGACACTGACACACTGATATAAGGGGGTCCTTCTCCCATTGGTCACCAATGTAAGGGACCACTACACTGACCACTGATATAAGGGGGTCCCTCTCCCATTGGTCACCAATGTAAGGGGACCACTACACTGACCACTGATATAAGGGGGTCCTTCTCCCATTGGTCACCCATGTAAGGGACCACTACACTGACCACTGATATATAAGGGGGTCCTTCTCCCATTGGTCACCAATGTAAGGGACCACTACACTGACCACTGATATAAGGGGGGTCCTTCTCCCATTGGTCACCAATGTAAGGACCACACCACTACCACTGACCACTGATATAAGGGGGTCCTTCTCCCATTGGTCACAAATGTAAGGGACCACTACACTGACCACTGATATAAGGGGGTCCTTCTCCCATTGGTCACCAATGTAAGGGACAAATACAATGACCACTTGGGATGATCTCTGGGTTTAGTTGTCGGAGAGTAGGGATGAGACGACAGTACAAACCAAACTTTGCCTGTTCCGGTCCCGTGTTTTGCAGGAGCCGATCATCACATATAGAAGAGACATTTCTACCACACTCTATATATATAACAGCTTCCCGCTGTCACTGGTGCCTGAGGAAGACATGGATGGGTACAGCGGCCACACACCCCCAGGAATCAGTGATGTCATTGGGAATCCCTGCCATGTAAGGAAGGGGGGCGGGGATAGCAGTGACATCACTGACCAAATATGGTCACTGGTCACATTTGGGTAATAAGGTCCCACCATCCCTGTCCCTTCACTTATGTAGATGATGACAGTTTAGGGAGCTGTCATTGGGCTGGTGCTATTGTCGGGTACTATATACCCCATACTCATTCACATGGGGGACGGTATATGGGGGCCCCTTGTTATTAAAGGGGGTTTCCAGAATCCAATATGACCCCCACCCACAGATCCCCACAGCCACCAGCCAAGGTGACAAGGTGCTATGCCTGGGGGAATCCCCCCTGGTAAGGTGACCCCCATGTTGTGGACATGTGGCCTGGTATGGATCAGGAGGGGGGGCACACTACAGCCCCCCTCTGCACTCTGTATGGTGGGCTGTATATGATATACTGCTGACCCCCGCACTCTGCGCCGTTATTGAAGGGTGTGAGGTGTCACCGAGGAGCAATGTTCTATATTGAAGTTTGCCCTCATTGCACCGACACACACAATAGTTTTTGTTCAATAAATGTTTTATTATAATTTTACATTTAACAAGATTGAAGCATAAAAATCAGGAAATAGTAAAGGAAGGAATCCGATTGGTCAGGAAGATCCCTTGTCTGGAATGTGGGGGCGGAGTCATTATTATTGGTGTACAATACAATACACAACGTGTTCCATTATTATAACAAAGTATTGTAGAAAAGATCCCAACATAGAAAATGGGGGAAAGGAGGAAATAAAGGCGGATATGAAGGGGAATCTGTGTACGGGGAACACCTTAACAATCACCACCATTTTATTCTCCAGGGCCTCTGATGTCACAGAATAGATGTTTGGGGTTATATCTCATCTTCAGGACCAAAATCTGCATTTTCCCATGTGTGCAAAATCATGCAGAAACAGCTCTGGCAGTGAGAGGGTTAATGTGGGCTAGATGGGATCACTCTGCTGGGGTGACATTAGAGCTCCCCCTAGCTGCAGCCTGGTAATAACATTGCTGGGAGGTCTATTCATTTCTCTGCTCCATACTTCCCGTCTTTATAGAAACGTCTCCTGACATTTGGGGGTCTATTCATAGAATGTTTGTATAGCAATTCCCTCAGTGAGAGTTCATGTCCATTCCTCCTGTGTGAATGGGGGAACCAATGTTATTAGGATCACATCTGAGCTGCTGGAATGTCTTCCATTGATGGAAAATACATTGAAAACTTCTTCTCCTGCCATCAATGGCCAACCCGGTCCCACACTTCATCCATGTCTTTGGGGGCCTCTCATCTCCTTATGAACTGTTTCTTCCATGATGAAGATCAGCCATGGAGTATATCTGAGGTGTATATCAGGGTGTGCTTCTTCCCCACATGAGAGCTGGGATGTCCAGCAACATTCATCTAGAAGACATTTCCCGCACTCAAGGCACTAATACACCTCCAGGGTTGTGTGGGACCCCTGATGTACAGGAAGACAGGACTTCAGTGAGGAACATTTCCCTCACTCAGGACAGCAAAGTGGCTTCTCTCCTGTGTGAGATCTCTGATGTTTGGAAAGATTGGACTTCACTGAAAAACATTTCCCACACTCAGGACAGGAATATGGCTTCTCCCTGTGTGAGATCTCTGATGTGTATAAAGACTGGAATTCTGTGAAAAACATTTCCCGCACTCAGGACAGGAATACGGCTTCTCTCCCGTGTGAGATCTCTGGTGTATTTTAAGATTAGACTTTTGTGAAAAACATTTCCCGCACTCAGGACAGGAATATCATTTTTCACCAGTGTGAAATCTTTTGTGCTCATTAAGATTGAATTTAGAAGAGAAACATTTCCCGCACTCTGGACAGGAAAATGGCTTTTCCCCTGTATGAGATCTTTGATGTATGTAAAGACTGAACTTCCTTGAAAAACATTTCTTGCACTCCGGACAGGAATACGGCTTCTCCCCTGTGTGAGATCTTTGATGTCTGTAAAGACTGGACTTCTTTGAAAAACATTTCCCGCACTCAGAACAGGAATGTAGCTTCTCCCCTGTGTGAGATCTCTGATGTGTATAAAGACTGGACTTCAGTGAAAAAACATTTCCCGCATTCAGAACAGGAATACGGCTTCTCCCCTGTGTGAGATCTCTGATGTGTTTTAAGATTAGACTTTTGTGAAAAACATTTCCCGCACTCAGGACAGGAATATGGTTTTTCACCAGTGTGAAATCTTTTGTGCTCATTAAGACGGAATTTAGAAGGGAAACATTTCCCACACTCAGGACAGGAAAATGGCTTTTCCCCCGTGTGAGATCTCGATGTCTGGAAAGATGGGTCTTCCTTGAATAACATTTCCCGCACTCAGGACAGGAAAATGGATTTTCCCCTGTGTGAGATCTCTGATGTGTGTAAAGATCGGACTTCTTCGAAAAACATTTCCCCACACTCAGGGCAGGAATACGGCTTCTCCCCTGTGTGAGACCTCTGATGTATGATAAGTGTTGATTTTTCTACAAAAACATTTCCCACACTCAGGACAGGAATACGGCTTTTCCCCCCGTGTGAGATCTTTTATGTCTATTAAGTTTGGATTTAGAACAGAAACATTTCCCGCATTCAGGACAGGAATACGGCTTCTCCCCGTGTGTGAGATCTTTTATGCACAATAAGCTCTGATTTTCCACCAAAACCCTTCCCGCACTCAGGACAGGAATACGGCTTCTCCCCGTGTGCGATCTTTGATGTATGTAAAGAATGGACTTCCTCGAAAAACATTTCCCACACTCCGAACAGGAAAATGGTTTTTTTCCCTGTGTGAGATCTCTGGTGTGTGTAAAGATCGGACTTCTTCGAAAAACATTTCCCACACTCAGGGCATGAATATGGCTTCTCCCCTGTGTGAGACCTCTGATGTATGATAAGTGTTGATTTTTCTACAAAACATTTCCCACACACAGGACAGGAATATGGCTTCACCCCCGTGTGAGATCTCTGATGTCTGAAAAGATTAGAATGACCTGAAAAACATCATTTCCCGCACTCAGTACAAAAATATGGCTTCTCCCCGTGTGAGATCTCTGATGTGTGTGTAAAGATTGGACTTCCGTGAAAAACATTTCCCGCACTCAGGACAGGAATACGGCTTCTCCCCCGTGTGAGATCTTTTATGAACATTAAAATTGGATTTTATAAGGAAACCCTTCCCGCACTCAGTACAGGAGAACCTCTTCCCTGTTGGAAGGCCAGCCCGGTCCCTCACAGTCTGAGGTTCCTCAGGATACGAGGAATCCGATGGTCCATCTACACTGGGTGGTGCCGGATGGACATTGGAGGGAGCCGGGTTTTCTCCTGGACTATACTGTGTGATGTCCTCATCTTCTACTTTCCAGTCTGGAGACAAAGTGAGACAATCCTCGGAGGTTTTCCTCATCTCCCGGCCATGGACTAAAATACAAAGACAAAGAGGATTACTAGACAGAAGCTGATTGGTTCCCCAAAACCAGGACTCCGCCCACATCAGGCAGCTTGGTCTCTGAGGAGCTTACAATTCCACCCTCAAGGGAACTAGGAAATGGCTCCTCTGATCTCCTACCAGGTCATTTCTTTATTCATGGACCTTAGTCAGAGAGTGAGGAAACAACCAGAACTGTCCTTTTATAGGAGGGACAGTGATGAGGGGATTATAGGACGAGGGTCCCCACCCCCTCTATCGCCATCTTCCCAACACAAGAAGTACTGCACTTCCTTATTTAGTCCATGATTTAGTCATGAAGAACAGCGGGGCTGAGCCCCCACCAGAGGTCAGAGAGTGAGGAGGGGGGGAGAACAACCAAGATGAAGACTGGACTGATCCTGAAGACCACCATCATTGGGGTATTGACTCCCTCCCTCATTATCACTTTCTGTTTAAGGGTCCAAAGTTGGAGGATGTTATCACGTTATTATCACCATGTAAAAGTCTGAGCTCCAATCACATCATCCGATATAAAATGTCCAGATGGTAGGAAATGGGGAATGTAACAAAAGAGAATCCATATTATGTGTATATATAGCAGTGGGGAGAGGGGGAGAGCAGAAGTCAGGAGTATGTAATGTACAACAGAGTATATAGTGCAGGGGTCAGGACTATGGAATGTACAACATAGAGTATATAGTGCAGGGGGTCAGGAGTATGTAATGTACAACATGGAGTATTTAGTGCAGGGGTCAGGAGTATGTAATGTACAACATAGAGTATATAGTGCAGGGGTCAGGAGTGTGTAATGTACAACAAGTGTATATAGTGCAGGGGTCAGGAGTATGTAATGTACAACATACAGTAGATAGTGCAGGGGTCAGGAGTATGTAATGTACAACATAAGAGTATATAGTGCAGGGGTCAGGAGTATGTAATGTACAACATAGAGTATATAGTGCAAGGGGGTCAGGAGTATGTAATGTACAACAAAGAGTATATAGTGCAGGGGTCAGGAGTATGTAATGTACAACATGGAGTATATAGTGCAGGGTCAGGAGTATTGTAATGTACAACATAGAGTATATAGTGCAGGGGTCAGGAGTATGTAATGTACAATATAGAGTATATAGTGCAGGGGTCAGGAGTATGTAATGTACAACATAGAGTATATAGTGCAGGGGTCAGGAGTATGTAATGTACAAGTTATATAGTATAAGGTCAGGACTCACAGTATTAGTATTCTGTAATCAGTGGAAGCTTAAATGTTTTCTGTAGACAACATGTAGAAGTGATCTGGGATTAAACCATCATGAAACAGGTTAGTTTGAGGTGAGAAAATCCTTGGACAGAGGGGTTGGCGGTGGACGTGGTATACTTGGACAGAGGGTGGGACGGTGGACGTGGTATACTTGGGGACAGAGGGGTGGCAGAGGATGTGATATACTTGGACAGAGGGGTGGCGGTGGACGTGGTATACTTGGACAGAGGGGTGGCGGTGGATGTGGTATACTTGGACAGAGGGTGGGGAGCTGGTGGACGTGGTATACTGGGGCACAGAGGGGTGGCGGTGGACATGGTATACTGGGACAGAGGGGTGGCGGTTGACGTGGTATACTTGGACAGAGGGATGGCAGTGGACATGGAATACATTAGCACAATGTAATACCATCCTCCACTCACTCTGATCGGAATACATTGGACCTTGTTTTCTCCCATCTTTGCACTCCCTACAACCTCACAAACACCCCCTTTCCTCTCTCTGATCACAATCTCATCACCTTCACAGTCTCCTCATCTTCAAACACCTATCCCTCAAGCAGCCAACAATTTACCCGCAGAAACCTTCACAACTTGAACACCCGGCTCCTTTCCACTCTCCTCAACACTGAACCACTCTATGAACAGACTCTCTCCCCTGTTCCTGCCCTGACTGGCCACTGCTGTCTTACAACAGTTCACTTTCATCCGCAGAATTAGACTCACTTGCTCCTCTAACAACACGAAAAGCATCAGGCCCCCGACCCGTTACACATCCGTGGCAGACTGACCACACAGACATCTTAAGTGACATAGTTGTGCGTTGGAGCGATTGTGGTGTAAAAACCAAATCTCAGCAAGCATTCACCGATATAAATCTGCTTTCTTCACATACAATTCCTCCCTTCATGCTGCCAAACAAAGAAGACTTTGTCACTCTTATTAATGAACCTTGTCAAATCTAGTCCTCATCGTCTCTTCTCTACTTTTAACTCTCTACTTTCTCCTCACCTCCATCCATACCCCTCAGCAACTCACTGCTCACGAGATTGCAAATACACAAGATTGACGCAATCGTAGGGGTGTCACACTGCACAGACATCCATCCCACTTACCAGACCTTATACTTAATCCTCCCTCAACACTTTCCTCTTCTGACCTCGCTACTACTGAAGAGGTCACTAAGGTTTTCTCAGAAGCCCGTCTCACCACCTGCCTCCTGATCCTGTCCCCTCACAAATTACTATGGTCACCCTTTCTTCCTTCTCCTATGCTCCCCTCACTTCACATCTTCATCTTTCCCTCTCTACTGGTGCCCTTCCCCTCCCCTCTAAAGCATGCACATCACTATCTAACTCCCATACTTAACAAAGCCCTCCCTGGACCCCCCACCAACCTGAACAACTTTAAGACCCATCTCCCTGCTCCTGTTTTACCTCTAAACTCCTAGAACGCTTAGTCTACATCGCCTGAGCTCCACCTTCACCGACAACATCTTCTTGACTCTTTACAGTCTGGGTTTTTGCTCGCTAACACTCCACTGACACCGCCCTACTAAACCTCACTAATGATCTGCCCTAACTGCAAAAACCAATGGCCACTACTCCGTACTCATCCCAACCAATGGCCACTACTCCATACTCAATCCCAACCAATGGCTACTACACCCGTACTCAGCCCAACCAATGGCCACTACTCCATTACTCTCATCCCAACTAATGGGCCACTACTCCGTACTCTTCCCAAACCAATGGCCAACTACATCCGTACTCCGCCCAACCAATGACCACTACTCCGTACTCATCCCAACCAACAGCCACTACTCCGTACTCATCCCAACCAACGACCACTACTCCCGTACTCATCCCAACCAATTGCCACTGTCCTACTAGTCCCAACCAATGCCACTACTTCCGTACCTTCCCAACTAATGGTCACTACTCCAACACATGCCCAACCAAAGACCACTACTCACATACTCCGTACACAACCCAACCAAATGGCCACTGCTCCCTACTAGTCCCAACCAATGGCCACTACTCCGTTCTCATCTGAACCAATGGCCACTACTCGTACTCTCAGTCCCTCCTCCCTCCCCCTCTCCCCCCTCCCGTCCCCCCCACACCCCCTCCCCTTCCCTCATCCCTCCTTCTCGCTTACTAACCCCCCTAAGTGACAATCGGGAAAGGATGTCCCCTCCACTTTCCCCCAAAATCAATCCTTTTTCCCAAAAATGAGCTCCCTTTGTATTCCCCCCCCCGTCCGTGCCCCCCCTGACTTCTCCATCAAGATTTAATAATACAACCATCAGCCCAACCCCCCCATGCCCGGGTACTTTGGTTAATCCTAGACTCCCATCTTCCTTTTACCCCCAAAAACCAATCACCCGTCCAAATCATGTAGACTTCAACCCCCCCGCAACATCTCCAAGATACAAACCCCGTTCCTAACCTCGGAAAAAACCCCTAAGCAACTTATTTTCCCCCCTTTTTTATATCTCAAACCCTTTACTATTGTAAATCCCTCCTCATTGGCT